CTCTGCCATCCCTCTCGTCATAGGACAGAACAAACAGATAAAAACTCAGGAGGTATATAAACTACTTGAACAGCACCCTAGACACTTGGAGAGCCCTTCTGACCTTGTGCTAGGTAGAGATTTCTTAGATGTGACAGCAACACAGAATTACTAAGAGGAAAGCGTTAATAAATTAAACTTTGCTGAATTTTAAAACCTTTGCTCTTCCACAGACACATACAGGGAAAAATACCTGAATGCACACATTTGAGAAAGGGATTTGTATCCATAATATATAAAGTACACCCAACATTCAATAATAGGAAAATAACAACCAATGAAAAATGGGCAAACTATTTTCAAAAGACATCACCAAAGAAGATGGAAGGATGGAAAATTAATACAAGAAAGTGCCCGGTATCATTAGCCATGAGGTTAAGATGGAAATCTTAGAGAAACTCTGCTATAAAAATAAAATCCAATGGATAACATTAAGAGGTGCTGATTATACAAAACAACTATACTCCCAAGTCCTGCCAGCGGGAATGTTTAAAAAGAGTTTGCAGTTTTTGATAAATTTACTTAAATAATTATCACACCACCTAGCAATCCCACCCAGCAAAATACCCCTTGGGTGTTTACCCAAGAGAAATGAAAATCCACCTTCACACATAAAATCCCCCTTCACACATAAAATCCACCTTCACACATCACCTGTTCATAAATAGTTACACTACTTTTTCCCACAATCACCAAAAACTGGGACTAGTACAAATGTCTCTTAACTAGAAAATGAAAAAACAAACGTTAGTGCCGCCATTCCGTGAAATATTCTGCAGCACTTAAAAAGAACAGCCTTCTGATACACAGGGACAGTGAACGCATTGTGCTAAAAATGAGAGAAGCAGATCCAAACGCTGAATCCTGTGTAACTCCATTTGATGAAATTATGAAGGAGGCAGACCAGAAGAATAGGGACCAAATCAGCAGTTGCCAGAGACTGGGCATAGGGGAAAGAGGTGGGTGCAGAGGGGCAGAGAGGAACTTGGGGAAGTGTTAGCATTTCTGTGCCTTCATTGTGACTGGTTGCATTTGTCAAAACTTGAAACTCTGTACTCCGAAGGGTGAACTTCACTGTATGCAAATTGTACCTTAATACACTTGACTTTTAAACAAAGCAGAGCGCTGTGAAAATATTCTATCAATCAGGCTTTCCATTTTCCCCATTAATTCAGTAATACTCCCTTTCACTCCAATTAATATCCCAGAGACTCACTCCTACTAGCCTTGTTTGCCCCGGCTCTGGGAGGCTGAGGAGCTAACACGTCCCAAGGCTTTGTGGCGCTGGGGACACAATGGAGAGCTGGAGAGCTGGAGAGCACGGGGCTCCGGACTCCAGCCCCTCCTGGAGATTGAGCCCACAGGGCAGGATCTGAGAGCAGAGAGCTGGAGGTCTTGCGAATTCAAAGGTGGAGGAAGGTGCAGGGTGGGAAGAGAACCTCAATAAACACCCACCACAGGGGCCCCCAGACTCATCCTGGGTGCCATGTAGCCACATGGGAATGTGCACCCAAGCCTGGCAGAGCACCCTAAGAAAAGCTGGACTTTTATATGCAAATTCTCCCAATTTTGGGAGCAGACATTTATTTTTTTAAATACTGAATTTTAATTCCACTCCTAGGGATTTACCCAAAGGACACAAAAACATTGATTCAAAAGAGCACCTGTACCCCTATGTTGATTGCAGCACTATTTACAATAGGCGAAACCTGGAGACAACCCAAATGCCCAAAAATAGATGACCGGGTCAAGAAGATGTAGCACATATTCACCATGGACTGGTACTCAGTGATCAAAAAAGATAAACTCGTGCCATTCGCAGCAACGTGGATGGAGCGAGAAGGAATGATGTTCTGTGAAATAAGCCAGAAGGAAAATATGGGATGGTCTCCCTTACAGCAGGAATATTGGGGACCCAATAAAACATCAGTGTGAAAAAAGGTACTAACAGTACAAAACACAACACAGCAAAAACGGACAATTAGGAAACAGACCTGCTGCCGGGGAGGGGGGGGCGGGAGGTGCGCAGGGGCCGAGGGGAGGGTGCTCGGGTGCCTTGGGGAAGGCAATTCTCTGGGGACTGCCCCTGAGGGCGTGGGGGGAGCAAATATTGTTTAAAAAAATAAAAATTCAAAAAATTTGAATTTACAAATAATACACTTGACTTTTAAACAAAGCAGAGCGCTGTAAAAGTATTCTGTCTGAGAGTATTTTTAACACAGAGTTTTATCCCTGGTGGGGCCGTCAGAGGAGGCCGCAAAGTGCTGCCTTCAGTCAAGAGAAACACAGGACAGCTGTGCCGCGGAAGCGCCTGAGTGGAGCTCAGGTGAAGCGCAGGCCAGGCCGGCTGTGGCCAGGGAGGAGGGAAGCTGGACTGGTAGTTGGCAGGAAGGCTCCCAAGGGCTGAAAGAACCCCGAAGGAGCTGGCACCCAGCAGGGCGTTTCAGCTCGAGGGGCAGCAAAGGATGGCGGAAGGACGTCCTTGCGGGTGAGTGAGCCGGCGAGTGCACCTTGAGTGTAAGAGGACAAGGCAAGATCACAACTGCCAGCTGGTAGCGGGTCCCTGGGAGCCCAGAAGGACCTCCACTCCGAGGACCCCACTATCCTATTCATGACACCGGCACAGCCCCAGAGCCCCCATCACAAATTCCAAATGTCCACGGCCTGCTAATACGCAGGTTGGCTGGTTTTTAATAGACGTGGAGGCCGGCGCTGATCTAAAGGGAAGCGAGGGGCGTTTGGGCTTTCCCTCCCAGGTGTCAGGCAGACGGCACCGCGCGCCCCGTCCTCGCGGAGCCTGGGGTGCTACACCGTCTATGACATGACTCCACGCGGCCGTCCATCTCCCCGTCATCCCTGCCTCCCGCCACCCCTCCCTCCATGTCATCATCCCAAGATCTCAAAATCCTGAAACTGGAAACACCTCTGGCCCCACACTCTCCAGAAAAGTGCTGTGGCTCCGCGGAACGTCCCAGGGCCCGTGTGACTGACGCCCATCCCGCCACCCTGAGGACACCCAGCCCACCAGAAGGGGCTCCCCCCAGCCTCACCCGGGGCCACCTCCTCAACCGCCCCTCAAGGACACCGCACCTCCCTTCCCTCCGCCTGTCTAGACCCTGGACGGGCCCTTCATTCCGCCCTGGCCTGTCCCCGGCCCTAAGGGGCGGCGGAGCCTGCGGACCCACCGCGGACAGACGGACAGTCCGCACTCAGCACTGATCCGCGGCTCTGCGCCTTCCAGAGACCGCACGCAGATCCCAGGCAGGAAGGTCAGCGAGAGGCTTTTATTTAAGGACAACACCGATTTCATCACGGGCCGGGCGGCTTCCCCGAGACGCTCCCGCAGCCATCCTGCTCTCGGGGGATCGGAGGGGGATTCGGCGGCTGCTCTCGGTGAGAGAAACAAAGTGGAAAACGCCTCGCAGAAGGCGGCCGCGAGCCGCCCGCCCCCCTGTCAGATCGCACGAGAGAGAAAGCCCCAGACAGGAGGCCCTAGGAGGGGCGGCGCGGGGCGCGGGCGCGGGGTGCGCGGGAGGGGGGATCCGCCCCGCAGCCTCCGCTCCGGCCCGCGGGGGCTTCTGCAAACCCAAACCCGGCTCCGCTTCCACAGGAATGGCCGCCGGCCCTCGCGCCCGGGCGCCCCGCTCTGGCCGCGAGCGCGGGACCCTCCGGGCCACGGCCGGACCCTCCAGCGCGAGGAGGCGCCGCTCCGGCCGCGGCCTCCAGGGCGCGCCCCCCCGCTGCGCCCCGTGAGTGCTTCGCCCCCGGGAATCACCCCGGGGGTGGGAGGGTCACCACAAAGGTCACTGCACACGAGGGAAACTGAGTCCCGGACACGCCGCGGGAAGGAAGGCGGGCTCTGGACGCCCGACTTTTCACACTCTCCCCAATCCTTCCCCCCCCCCACGCTATTAAAACGGCAATTTTGTTCTGTTGCTGCTTCTGGAAGCTTCGGCCTCGGAGGACGGCAGACCGCGGGCCTCTCCCAGGTGCGCGCTGACTTCGCGGCGGCCGTGACTTTCCCTCCCCGCGGCTCGGGCCGGCGCCCCCCGCCCCCAGCGCCCCGGAGCCGGGCCGGGCCGCGCGGGGACCCCGGCGCCCGCGACCCCCCGCCGACCCCCTGCCCCCCCACCGCCTGCCGCGGCCGCGCCGGTGCCCCGGGAGGGGCAACAGGCCTGGCTCGGGCCCAAGGGGGCGCCCGCCGTCCTGACGGGAGCCGCCCCGGCCGGGCGCCCAGAGCCGGAGGCAGAGGAGGCGGCCCCGCGCGGCCCCGCCTCGGACCCCAGGCGCGGCCCCGCCCTCCCGCGCCCGACCCCGCGCCCCCGGCCGGTCAGTCAGCCCCGCGGCCCCGGCCGGTCAGTCAGCCCCGCGCCCCCGGCCGGTCAGTCAGCCCCGCGCCCCCGGCCGGTCAGTCAGGCCCGCGCGCCCCCCGGCCGGTCAGTCAGCCCCGCGCGCCCCCCGGCCGGTCAGTCAGTCAGCCCCGCGCGCCCCCCGGCCGGTCAGTCAGCCCCGCGCGCCCCCGGCCGGTCAGTCAGCCCCGCGCGCCCCCCGGCCGGTCAGTCAGCCCCGCGCCCCCGGCCGGTCAGTCAGCCCCGCGCCCCCGGCCGGGTCGTCCGCTGAGGCGCTGCGGCGCGAGGGGCGCGTTCCTTCGGGGCTCGGCGCTCGGAGGAGGAGGGGCCCTGGGCCGGCCCCGCTCCCGGACCCCGCTCCCGCGGCCGCCGCGGGGCATCCTCCCAGAACTCGGGGTGGGGAGCAGCGCCCCTCAGCCACGCCCCCTCCTCACCCGCGGCGCCCCGAAAGCGGGGACAGCCGCCGGCCCAGGCGCCCCTCCCGGCTGGGCCCCGCGACACCCGCATTCGGCGCCCGCGCCCCCCCGCCGCGCCCCCCCCGGCCCGCGCCCCCCGCGCCCCCCGGCCCGCGCCCGCGCCCCGCCCCAGGCGCCCCCGCCGCGCCCCGCTCACCTCTGCCCAGCAGCGCGCCCAGCACCAGGCTCAGCGCCCCGCACAGCCGCGCCGCCGGCCCGGGGGCCGCGCCCTCGGAGCGCATCCTGGCCGCGCTCACGCCGGCCCCCGCCCGCCCGGGGCGCAGCGCCCGCCCGCGGCCCCCGCCGGCTGTCCCATGCCCGGCGCCCCGCGGGCGAGCGGCCGGGCCGGCGGCGGAGGGTGGTGGCGCCCGCGGGGTCGTCCGCGCCGCGGCGCCTCGATCGCGCGGCCGCTCGCGCTCCGGCCGGGACAACTTTTCTCCGGCGCCGCCGCGGCCCGGCCCGCCCCGGCCCCGCCCCGCCCCGCCCCGGCCCCGCCCCTTCCCGCCCGCCCCGGGCCCGCAGGCCCCGCCCCGCCCATCCCGGCCCGCCCCCGCAGGCCCCGCCCCGCCCCAGGCCCGCAGGCCCCGCCCCGCCCGCCCCGGCCCCGCCCCGCCCGCCCCGGCCCCGCCCCGCCCCGTGCCCGCAGGCCCCGCCCCGCCCGGGGAGGGAGGCGGGAGAGGACCCGAGAGGGCGCCTGCCTGCGGCCGGGCCGGGCCGGGGAGCGGGGCCGAGAGGGCCGACGCGGAGCGGGGCGGGGGCGTCCCTCGGGCCCGGGCTCCCCTCCCACCGCGGGCACCTCCCCGGGCGCCGGGGCTCGCGCCGGAGCAGCGCGCGGTGCCCTCCCGCGAGATGGAGCCGGACCCTCCCCGGCCCCCGGCGGCCACCGCGGGCCGCGTGGCCCCTCCGCGCCCGTGGCCGCGGGGCGCCGGGACCGCGCCTGGAGAGCGGGCGCCCGGGGTGCAGGGCCCGGGCTGCTGCAGAAGCTCCGAGCCGTGGGCGGGCGCCGCGTGGAGCGGGCCCGCGGGACGGGTGTGCACGGCGCGCGTGTGCGTGTGCATGTGCGTGTGCATGTGCGTGTGCGCGCGTGGTGTGCGCCCGGGGCCGCAGGGCTGTGGCTGGGAAGGCCGGGCCGCGGGGAGACGGCCCTTCCAGGGGTGCGGGCTCCCCGCCCCAGTGCGCGGGGAGCCCAGAGCCTCGAAGCCCGGCCCTCCCCCGCGGGTGCTGAGCGCTTCCCCAAGGGCTCCTCCTCGGGCTGGGGGTGCCCTGGGACCCACCAAGACTCAGCGGGGAGACGCAGCACGGCCTCGGAGAAGCTGGTGTCGCTGGGCAAGGAACGGATTCCAGAACCGCGGAAAACAGCCCTGACTGAGCGGGAACAAGCAAACGTGGAGGATCCCCAGCGAGTTCCTACTCCTCACGCCCCAACTTGGTGCAGGAGAGCGCGAGCCCCCAGAGGAGAGAGCGGGGCGAGGACAGGCTCCGGCAGGCTGACCCCGCGGGTGGGGGGCAGGAGGGGTCTAGGGGGTCCTCTGAGTTCACTCTCTGCCTGGTGGGCAAACCACCCCCACCAGAACGAAAGCCAGAGTGGGCTCTGCTAGCTCCAGGGCAGCAGCTCCACGGTCCAGTGCAGGACGCAGAGAGGCGCCCGCTCCGCAGCCAGGGGCACCAGCTCGGGGAGCAGAGAGCAGACTGGGCTCCCGGAGGGAAGCATTTCCTTCTTGCTTTTATTTATTAGCCTCGAAGTCACTGGAGAATAAATATTTTTCATTTACGTGTTTCCAGCCTCCCCGAGAAATACCACCTCTTCATCGCTCCTCCCGGGGAGGCTGGGTCAGCTGCATCCTCTTCCCTCCGGTCTGATAACAGGAGCAACAAAGCCCCGAAGGTGTGTCCTCCAAGCCCCTTCTCCTCTGTAGGCTCCTGACTCCCTTCTCTGCCCCCCCCATTTCCTTTCTTTTTGGCGCAGAATCTTACCCTCCGTTTTGCACCGCCAGGTCTGGGCCAGGATGCTACCCTGCAAATAAAAAGGGGGAAATTGAACACGTGGAAGACCCACAGCAAGTTCCTACCTATTTCTCACGCCCCAACTTGGTGCAGGAGAGTGTGAGCCCCCATAAGGAGAAACTGGGGGATGAGGACAGGCTTTGAGGGGACACCCCAGGAGACTGTCCTTCTCCCTGGGGGTGGGGAGCACAGCGAAAGACACAACCACCTGAAACAAGAGAGCAAAGGAGACTCCCCAGTCAGGTGCTCCCACCCCACGGCCCTGGGAGGTGCCAGCTTCTTGGGGTGTTCCCAAGTCTCGGGTGTTGCCTGAGGCCATGGCCACTGGGCATCCCTATGAGAGGCTCCTTGGTCCTTCACACCGGAGGACACGGGGTTCGGGCCTTCTCTTCTGTAGCCCTCAGGACCTTGGGACCTTCTAAACGTCAATCAAACAACAAATTCAAACAAGAGGGACGAGGCGGCCTAGTCACCTATTTTAGAAAACCCACGAAAAGAAAGGGGTGGGCCTTGGGCTCATGGGCTAACATTGCCCTATATTTATTTTTTAAGGCACCGATTATTTAACCTAAAATCATTTAGTACCTTGAATTAAATGACTTCCAGAAGCTTCTCTGAATCTCACAGCAAACATCAGAGGCCACTGGTCTCCGAGGCTGTGCCACGGGCTGTGGGCACACGGAGACGACTGATCTATCAGGGGGAGGTCTCTGGACGGAAGGACCTGCTGCCCCCACATCTGCCTGACTTCCACAGTCAGGTCACTCCAGATTTTTTGGCTTCAATTCCAGATTCACATCACGGTCAGCGAGGCTGGAGCGCGGGAGCCTGGCGCAGGGAGCTCTTACACGCCAGCTTCTAGACAGGCCACAGGTCTGCGTGAGTGAGGACCTGGAGAAGGGGCCATGTGGTGTCCTCTTGGGGCAGCTGTGGTCATCAGGAAGCGCAGTGTCTTCAGGCGCTGCAACTAGGAATGAAGGAGTGGAGAGCAGAGGACGGAGAGAGGCGGGAGGACAGGCTGCTGTCGCCCTACTGGGCTCTTTGAATGAGTGCCCTTGAATGGCCACAGTGGTGCCGCTGCCCTGTGGCCGTCCTGAGCCCCTCGTGCATTCAGGCGCGGCGCTGGCCTGCTGCTGTCCCGCAACGGGCCCAGAGCGGGGCTCCGGGGCACACGCTCAAGCCTCAGGGGTTGGGAGGTAAACTCTGCACACCTGTGCAAGGAAAGGCCTCCCCTAAGACGCGAGTCATGGCCAGGAGGAAAGAGAAAGCCTTGCCTAGGGGCGCAGGCTTCGTGAGAGGCTAAGTTTTTGGAAATCTGGAAAAGAGCTTTTGGGGCGAGGAAACCTGGAGTGCAGAGACCCGGGGTGCAGGGCTATAGGGGCCTCACTTTTCTTTGGGGGGTCCCTCTGGGGTCCTGTAGAGCCGGATCTCCCGGGCGTCGGTGCAGAGGCCCGGGCTGGGGGGGCCGCGGTTGGGGGGCAGAGCAGGTCCAGCTCGGCGGCGCCCAGAGCCCTCGCGGCGCCCTCCGGGAAGGCCGGGGCGGGGCCGGGTGAGGGGCGAGGAGACGCGGGCCAGTCCCCGCGGGGACCCTGCATCACTGACCCCCGTCCCCCCGCGGCGGGCCGCGGACCCGGACCAGACCCCACACGGTGGCCCCGCGCTGGGTCCTGACCGCGACCCCCGGGATCCCGCCGGGCGGGGGCCGGGCGGGGGCCGGGCGGGGGTCGGGCGGGGGGGGCTGCCGGCTGGGCCCGGAGCGCCGTGGCTGGTTAAAAGCGGAGCTTCGGAAGGAGAAAGGCCGACGCGGCGCTGCTCCGCCGGGCGGGGCCAGGGTGGCTCCCCGCGTCCCCGGAGCCGTCGCAGGGCCGGCAGCGCCCCCTGGCGGCGCCCACGGGCACTGCCGGCGCGAGCAGCGCGGGCGGAGCGGCGCTGTGGGGGGCGGGGGGGGGCGATGGGGGCGATCGCGGGGCGTCCGCCCCCCCCCGCGGTCTGGGGAGCGCGGCGTCGCTGAGGGTCCAGGCAGCAGGCGTCCTGCTCCAGTGGGTGCCCGCTGGGGCTCGCAGGGCCGGTTGACCCGACGGGGCGCCCGGGGAGTGAGCCTGGCCCGAGCTGGCGCGGCGGGTCGGCGCGGGGGGGGGGGGGGGCAGCGCAGCCCTGAGCCCCCCCCCCAGGGGCCGCACGAGGCAGGCGCCTCGCAGGTGCCGCGGTAGTCACTGACGGGCTCCCGTGCCCTGGGGTGCGTCCAGGGGGGTGAGGGAACTGTGGGGACAGGGGGTTCACCTGAGGGAGACCCTGGTCACCGCGCGGGGAGTCGAGCAGTGAGTCCCGCGGGGGAGGTGGGGGACAGGCAACACGTGACCCGCCCTCCAGCAGCACCTGAGGACCCGGGGTTCAGGGCGGGCCCCGTGTTCCGCGGTGGCCGGTGCACCAGAGGAACTTGCAGGCGGATCTGGCGGGAGTGACCAGCCTGAGAGGCGGGGCGGGCCGGCAGCCATCGGAGTAGATGGGGTTGCCCACCTCTGCGGTCACCCGCGAGGCTGAGCTCCATGCGTGACACCTGCGGATTCCACACAAGCACAAGTAAGCAAAGGGACAAAGCAAACTCCCTGCAGGCTCTGAAGGGTGCAGGGCAATAGCAGAGTCTGGAACACTTGGAAGAGGGCAAAGGATGGGAAAAGTTGCCTGTTTTTGTGGCTTTCCCCCTAAGGACAGGCTGTGGTTATTGCTTCAGGGTGAGGGGCTGGGGGTACATCTCCGTCTGCAGGAACCCGCTCTTTCTGGTCTTAACTATACACTGAGTGTGGAGCAATCACAGCCACTGGGAAGTTGAGGGAGAATTGCAAACATGTGCAGAGCCAGAAAGGAAGACGTCCAGAATCTGGGCATAAACTGTTCCAGTCTTTCTCTGGAGGGCGTGTACCCACCATAAGTGTGATTTAGACAGAACAGCCCAGGTAAGGATAAAACAGCCCACCTGATCAGAGCTGCTGCCCAAGAGGCGTTCTGTAGTTTGATCCAACCCAGTGGATTAGCAGCCAAAATAAAACGTTAACACTCTTCTGAGGATTATAACAGAATCCAGAGTCTCCACAGACATCAGACTCCCCATAGCATAACAACTACAATGGGCAGACCGCGTTTTGACATTCAAGTGCCAAAAAAAAAAAAAAAAAAAAATGAGAGGAGCTCTCAAAGGGAAAGGCAGACAGTCCCCATATGATCCTGATATTAGCACGAG